GTATTTAATAATATTACTCAAGGAACTGATCCTATAGGCCGATTCTATGCACAATTAAAAAGAATGGTTGTACTTGCCTATTTAGCACTCCCAGCATTAAATCAGGAAGAAATGATTAGACAACAATTCTTTCAAGGTCTTTCTTCTGACAATAAATTAGAAGTAAGACGTATTGGTCTTGAAAATCTGATTTCCACTTTATTATCAAAATTAGAATAAATTGAAAGACAGAAAGCTGAATTGATGTTAGGTCAGTATGATCCCAATTCTCATCCAGTCATCTCTCATTCACAATCTAAAGCTAATACAAAAGATTCTTATACAACAAGCAATATGAGTATAACTGAAACTGAAGTCAGAAACTTGGTAAAATCTATGATGTTATCTGAACAATCTCAACTTGTTTTGCAACTATCTCTTCTAAATCTCAGGAGAATCGATCTAACCAGATCACACTTTCACAAGACGATTTCAAAAAAATTATAGCAGGTTTAAAGGGAACTATTGCTAAAGGACAGCAAACTTTGAAGAAACCTCCTGATCCAGGGAAACAAAAAGCTGATAATCTTGCTATGAACTGTTTTTTAGATGAATTTGTAGATGATGTAGGTCAACCTGAAGAAGATTATGACTATAATCCTGTTGAAGATTTAAGATTACAATTTGAGGAGATGGGAATTAATCAAGCAAAATTAACTCGAGCAGTACACGTGATTTTAAAATCATCACAATATAAATGTTCAAAGTGCGGTAAACCAGGTCATAATTCTTGCAATTGCTCTAAAAATAAAAAGAAGAGCAAGTCTAGATGTTCTAGTAAGAGCAAATTCAAAAAGAAAGGTAAGATTAATATGGCTACTAAATATTCAGATTCTGAGTCTGATGCTAGCTCTTCTGATAATGAATCCAATTCTGGCTCTGACTCTAAGTCTGGTTCTGAATCAGAATCTGATTCTGAGAATGACTTAACTGAATCTGAAATCTCAAAAATTATCAATGCTGTTAAATCAAAAAAAAAGTAAAGCCAAAGAGTAAATCATCCTCTAAAAAGAAGTCTAGTCCAAAGAAATGTACTTCACAAAAGAAATCAGGTACGATTATTGACTCACAAATTCGAAAAATTATTCTAGCTATATTTAATGATCCAGAGGTTATAGAAACGATTAAAAACAATATTAATAGTGGAGCTAGTGCCAAGGCACATAATACGAATGTATCTATTGCAAAATCTGACTTTATAAATTATCGAGAGCCAGCTCCAGAAATACCTGATTCAGATGGAGAGGATGAAACGCTAGATGATCCTATGGAGATTGATTTTGTCCATCAGAAAGAACCTGACACAAGTATTGTAACTATACCAGTTAAAATTAAATGCTTAAAAATTCCAGTATTGGTTCTTGATAGTGGTGCTGAGCTTCCAATTACATCTGAAGATATTGTTAAACGTGTAAATTAGACAATTGATACATCAGAAAAGTATGATCTCAGTGGTGTTGCCACCATTCCAACAGAATCTATAGGTATTGCTTGTAATTTTTCAATAACCTTTCCTTCAGGTTTTACTATACGTGAAGATTTTGTAGTTGTACGAGTTCCTAAACCAACATTGATATTTTCAAATCCACTTCTCAAGAAATATAAATGTACCATGAACTGGGGTAATGATAAAATGAAGATTCATTACAATGATAAAAAGTTTATTATTCCAGTCACTATGCATAAGGTCAAGAATAAGCTCGAAGTGAACTGCGCAATTGCATCTCAGGATAATAAGCCTCTGGTATCAGATCAAATTTCTCAAAAGACAGATAGTGGTAAGGATGGCAATATACCATTTGATGAGTGGTGTGCTCCTGCAGGTTTTAGCTTATTACAAAGTAATGGGACTCTGTCCCTAGATTCTGTCAATTCGACTTTAAAAAAAAAACGCATGAGCTATGAGGAACTGGAAAAATCACTATATGATGTACTTGAGTCAAAAGCTAAATTGATTGAGCTCAATAAAAAAATGCAACTTAATATAAATGAGCCTAAAGACTTTTATGCCAGTATTGATATAGAAAAAGCGAAGATAGATTAGCTAAGATTTAAAATTCTTTCTGACTCACGTTCAGCTTCTTCTGTTTCTTTGCGATCACGTTCGATTAAAGTATATAGATCATTATTTTCTGCTTTTTTTATTAGGATATTGGATATATCATCTCTGCTGATAATATGTGCCTTGGCACTAACTCCGCTATTAGGTGAATCAAAAATTCGAACAGATTTAGATCTTGATTTTCTTTTTTTAACCTGCTTGTTCGAAGTATCAATTGAAGTTAGATGTAAAATATCTTTATTGATTTGATTAGGAGTTCCAGTTATACTAGCTCCATCGGCAGAGCTGGAATATCCAATACTTGGTGAGCATGATTCAGGTAATATTTCTGGTATAGGTAAATCTTGATTTGGGGGTGTTATTAATTCTGATACAGGCTGATACCATTCTATCATACCAACTTCTTGCCCTCTCCAAATTCTATAAAAACGGTCATTCGTCATAGGATATTTTTTTCTTAATTCCTTTAAAACCTCAGTTTTGGATTTTGCATCACGATATTGCATAATAAATTTATAATCTTCTGATGATAATGGAACCGCATCAGATCGCATACGTTTAATCATGTTAATATTTTTTATAGTATACGTATTATCCATAATATTAATAAAATTTATTAAAAAAATATTTATAATACACATAATATTCATAATACGGATAATTAATATACATAGTACCTATAATATAAATAATAGTATGTATAGTATCTATAATATTTATATTATGGAAAATTAGCATGTATAGTATCTATAGTACACATAATATCTATAGTACACATGGTATATATAATATTAGTAATTAATATATATACTACATAATATCAAGATTTATCTATATTTTTTACTATCTATTTATTATTTAGTATGACCTATATGAAAAACCTAGAGAAAAAGATATACCATATTCTTCAATCCTCTTCTAAATTGCATAACTATAATAGTAAATTGCAGGATGGATGCATAAAACAAGAGCAAGATTTTGATCAAGAAAAAAAGAGATGGGATCGGAAGAGAAATAAGTGGAATCAGAAATTAGAAGGAGCTAATATCGAGATCCAGAAATTACGTATCCATGATCTGGAACTTATTGATGAGACTAGGCATCTGCAGATTGAAAATGCTCGCAAAGATATCTCTCTTGCAGAGTCTAAGACTAAGAATTCTACAAAAACAGAGGAGATTAAATTACTTCAGAATGAGATGAAATTATTGAAAGGTAAGTTAAATTTATCCCAGAAGGACTCATCAAAGAAAGGGTCTGAAATCGTGTCTCTCAAGTCTAAGATAGTTAAATTAGCCTTGAAAATTAGTGAATTGGAGTGTCTGAAATCTGAGGATATGTCTAGATCTATGATTGTTGAGAATGACGAAAAAAATATATCCAGTTCTAATAATATTTCTATAGTTAGTGAACCTAATAAAAATCTTAGTAAATATTTAGTATCCAAAAAAAACATGGAAGAGGCTGAAAAAATTGATACTATATGTCTTGAATCAAAGACTCGTGGCTTTGCCACTGACACTAGCTCTGCTATTATACCAGATCATACTGATAATGAGATTACTGAACCACCAAAAGTTAATATTGAGACTAACAAAGATAATATGCTAGATACATCGATAAAACCAGATATATCATCAATTATACCTGAGAATATGATCCCATACCTTGCACAACGGGAAAATTATACCTCCTCTTTGATCAAATCACATTCTCAGATTTCAGTGGGAGGAATAAAAGCAATTCCTATTGTAACAAGTACTTTAATATTATCACTATCCGCATATATATTTCTTACCTTGTTAATTATTGCTGTTATGTGGTTTGTGATATTAAGACGTACATGGGGAGTCAGTAAAAAAAGTGATCAGTTGCGAGATGCGTGGGTCAGGTATTAGAAACTGGCTATTTGAACTTCGAAGTTATTTATAACAGAAGAATATAATACCTTTTTAACCATGTCTAATATTTGTTGCAATTGTAAGGAAGTATCTCATCATATTTTTATGTAGAAATAAAACTTAGGTAAATATTATAGAGTGTTTTACACCATGCGATTTTAGATCTTTAAGCACATCATTCATCTTTTTTACAGCTATTTTTTCCTCCTCTATATCAAATGGTTCTTTCAACAAAAAGCGCAAATCATCAAGAGTTAATTTTTTATAATCATCTAACAATAAAGCAGATCCTGGAATGAGAATATTATCTCGTCCTGTTCGTTGATTTATTAAATGAGTTGCTAATGGATTTACAGGCAGTTTTTTATTCTGACCATCATCATCACAAAATAAAATCAAATGAAAATCTTTTGGTCCAAAAATTGTTACGTGATCATTATAATTATTTTGTAGTATTTTACTAATATCTCCTTTTTTAATATTAACTTGTTTTATTTCTGGAAAACCACGTACGGATATATATATTCCTTGAGAAATTTTTTCCATAATAAGTTAATATTAATTTGGTTAACTTTAAATACCTGGATTTTTGTGTCATCCAATTTAAGTTGGCAGGCTGTTGGATAAATATATAAAAAGCTTGGTTTATAAAAATCTGAATTGAACCTTGGAGGTTCAGGTTTTTGTGCCATGAAATTTTGATCGAGGTGCACTTTTCAGTAAATAATACGTATATATTCAAAAAAAATCTGAAAAAGTGAGACCAAAAGTCCCACCTGGAAAATTACACCAATCACTTTTGCCAAGAAATTTGAGAGACCGCGCGGTCCCAGAAAAATGACTTATTGATAACCATTTTTGTGTTGTGTAATTTTGACAAAAAATCAGTGTCTGGTCAAGATATAATTATTATAGAAAGGGTGATTGTACTTTGAACAGATATCAAGTATATATGATTTTATAATATAATTCAAAGAAAAATCAGTGTCCAATCAAGGTATAATTTGAAGAAAATCAATATCCGGTCAAGGTATTGTTACTGTTTTGAGCTTTTGCATATGAAAGTATTTCAAAATGGCAATAGTGACTGTGTTCATGACAATTTACTTTGAATATTATGACTAAATTGTGTTTATGATGATAAATGATGTTTCTTGACAAAATAACGAAGATGAAAAATAAACTAATAACAAAACTAAACTAAAAGGTAAATTTAACCAAAAAGTACTTATAATTCCAAAAATATATCAATTTAACATGTCAAACTTGACATTAAACCAAAAGAAACTCAAAATCAAAACTTAAGAACTTAATACTAGAACTGAAGAACTTAAATCAAAACTGAGAGAACTTGATTTTTATTAATTATCAACACTTGTATTTATACATATTTTCATGTTACAATGGCACAATGTGATACAGTAATGCGCAGTATGGTGCAGCATGGCGCAGTTGCGACGCAGCATGTGGCACAGTAGATCTTCACTATTACTATGAAATTATTGGTTCTTTCTAAATTACACGAAATTTAACTATATCATAATTAATAATCTTGTTCTACATCTAAATACCAATAGCAAAATTAGAAAATAAAGACTAAACTAATATAGATAATGATGAAATTTGCCAAGATAATGGCATAATAAATAAAGATAACAATAAGATAAATATAGAAAGATAGATAATACGAGAAAGAAAAAGAAGAAAATAGAAAGAAATGAAAAGAAGTAGAATATTATCGAATTAATTACGTAGTCTAAATATTATTATGACTATTTTTATCATGCCATATCTTTTGTTCATGTGTTTTTATATGAAATTATAGTTGATATTGAATCAGTAACAGTATTTAGATATAGAACAAAATTATTAATTGTGATATAGTTAAATTTCATGTAATTTAAAAGAAAATTAGTAATTTTGTAATATTAGCAAAGATTTACTGTGCCACATGCTATGTTGCAACTGCATCATGCTGCACCATATTGTGTATTATTATATCATATTGTGTCTCTGTAATATAAAAACATGTATAAATATAAATGCTGATAATTAATAAAAATCAAGTTCTCTCAGTTCAGTTTAAGTTCTTCAGTTCTAGTTTTAAGTTCTTAAGTTTTGGTTTTGAGTTTCTTTTGGTTTAATATCAAGTTTGACATGTTAAATTGATTTTATTTTGAAATTTTAAGTAGTTTTTGGTTAAGTTTACCTTTTAGTTTAGTCTTATTTTCATCATCTTTTATCTTGTCAAGAAATATTATTTTATCATCATAAACATCATTCAGTTATAAAATTCAAAGTAAATTACCATGAAATACTTTTATATGTAAAAGCTCAAAATGGTAACAACATCAATGATAATAAAAATTTTATTGTTAATACAAATAGCAATAAAAGTTTTGTCATCAATACTAATAGCAATAATAAAATTTTTATTATCAACATTATCAACAAAAAAACTAGTAAAAAAAATCAAGAAAAAAATACTCAATTTAAAAAGAAAAAGCTTGTTTAGTATTCAAAAAATTGAAATATATTGTCTAAAAACAAGATCTTAATCAAGTTACTATTTCAATATCTTGTGTGAAAAAACAAGATAACTATTCATTGAGCCAAGTTCAAACAACATCATTTTAAAATAACAAAAAATTTCAAATTCTCTCTATTAAAAGAGAAACTTTCTTATTGAATATCATGAATAACTATAATATTACAAATAATCATAATTATTATAATTACAATTATTATAATTTAATAAAAAACAAACAAACTTATAAAATGACTTAATGTGATCAATTTTAATATTCCTGAGGAATGATTTTCAAATTTTAAAAAATAATTTTATATAAAAAAGTATAAGTGTTATCACAATTCAATTTTTAGAGCTCTTTTTGATATTTATTATTAATCATAACTTGTTTTTAACCATAACTATTAATTATATCTTTTATAAAATCAATCTATACTAAGTCATATAATCTCAAAATTTGTGTACAATAAATGTGTCTTCTTTTATCATCAAAATAGATTACTACTACTATTAATAGATTTCTATTCTCTACTTAGTATAAGAACAGTTCTAAAGTAATATAATATTGATATTCTTTAGCAATCTGATTGAGTATCCAATATAGTATGCAATAAGTACTATTATTATAATAATATTATTATTTAGTTAAATTTTATATATTAATAATAAAGACAATCAAATAATAAATATTTAATTAAAGCTATTTTATTTATTGTATATTGAATCTAATTGACTACAACTTGTTTTTTTTACAATATAAAAAGTATTTCTTATATATATATAATAATTTTAGTTTACATATTATAATATATTATTAAATATTATAACATATTACTAAATATTATAATATATTATAAAATATTACTGAATATTATAACATATTACTAAATATTATTATATATTCAAATCACATAAAAAAAGTTACATGATTTCAATTTTTTCTAATAGAAATAAATAATTAAATAATAAATAATTAATTTAAATAAATTTAAATTATTAAAAATGTTAAATATAATAAAAGTAATTAATTATTAATAAAATAATTATATTATAGAGAATTGAGCTCCAGCAAAATTTATAAGAAATAAAAATGATATTAAATAAATAATTAAATAATAAATAATTAGTTAATTAATTAATAATTAAATAATAAATAAATAAATAAATAATTAATAATTAAATAATTAAATAATTAAATAATTAAATAATTAAATAATTAAATAAATAAGTAATAATTAAATAATAATTTGGCAAAAATTATATAATAAAAATAAGTTAAAAATAAATTTAAATTGTTCTAGTAAAATTATAAGAAATAAAAATAATAAAAAATAATATAATAATTGTGGTGGATTAAAATGAAACCAGATTAAAACGAAACAGAGTGTGATGTTTAAATAATTATAGGTCAATTTACTACAGATTTTAATGCTATACCCTATGCTCTAACCTAACCCTAACCCTTCTCTGAAATTTTTATTCCATAAAAATAGATCCAAATTTTATTTTGATTTAATTTTATTATAATCTGGTTTCGTTTTAATCTGGTTTCGTTTTAATTTGTCACAATAATTAATTAATTAAATTTAATTTAATTTAATTTAATTAATAAATAATAATTAAATAGTTGTATAGATGAAAATTATATCAAAAAAAAAGTAAAAATAAAGTCTAAACTACTTTAATTATATATACAATTTAGTGTTTTTGCCAAAACTTGCAAAGCTCAATCAACTAATAATAAGAAATAAAATAAATAAAAATTAAAATAATTATCTCAAATCTTAATCTGAAGCATATATAATTTTTAGTCTCCATTATTCAGGTCAGACACTAATAATAATATATTAATTAGTAAATTTTTCAAGACTTTGAATTGATAATGTAAACATAATAAATAAATATAAAATAATAAATAAATAATAATAAAATAAAATATATGAATATTATAAATAATATTTTTATTTCAATATTATCTAGAATAGTAGGTGCTTAATAATATATTCATATATTTCTGCTAAGTTTATAAGATTAATTTTATTATGTTAAAATATCTAATTAAAATCTCACATAAATGATTCAGATTATAATTAATAATATTTTAACAAAAACTTCAAGGAACATAATTATAATATATTATTTAGCAAGAATTTTTAAGGAATAATTAAGAGAAAAAATAAGAATCATACTTGTTTTATTCTTATTTGATTATTATTTTTTTTGTTTGAATTTATAATAATTTTTGAAGAAAGAAATAGTATCTTTTTATAAAAAATTAATAATAATAATAATTAATTATTAAAGAAAATATATATAAATATTATTGATCACTAATTGTGAATTTTTATTAGTTATTAATCTAATAATATGATTATTAGCACAGCTGCACTATATTATTGATCTATTTATTCATCAATTATTATTAATATTATTTTCTTTTTCATATTACTCTTCTTTTTTTTGACAATTTAATATGTGCAAATATCTTGAATCTGCTTATATTACTTTTGTTATTGTGTGTGAGTGATATTTTCTAGTTTTTTCACTGTTATTTTAGTTTTTATTGATCTTTGTCAGAAGTAAATGGTGATATTTTGTCTTTTGTAATTGTGAAAAGTGTTTTTCTTTATTAGGTGAGTAATCTCTTTGTTTTTCTTTTTCTTTGTTGTTATTGATATTTTTATTTTATTATGAAAAGAGTTTTGATATTTGTTTTTTGATGTATTCTCTTCTCCTTCTTCTTTTTAAGAATTTGCTCTCAAATTCCAGATTTTTTTGTTTATTAAATGCAATTTTATTTTTTAATCTTAATTAAACAAGTTTTTTTGTTAATTTTGAAATAGTGGATGTTTTTCTTGTTCAAATTTTGAATAGTTATTATTTTTTAATAAAAATTTTATTAATGACTTTGAGTTGTAATAATTCAATCAATTTATGTCCAATTTTGGGAAAATACATATCATTGAATTTGCAAGATCAAGAAGAGTCAAATAGTTAATTTTTATTGAATTTCAATTACTGGATAAGAATATATCATCATTCAAAGATAAGCATAAAAATTTTAAAATCTATTTTTATTTTTTGTTCAACTTTGAGCTTGAATACCTCTGTAAGTTTTTGTTTTACAGTGGAAAATTTTATATTTTTAGATTTCTTAGATTA